GGCTTGCCCAAGGTCATCCAGCAGCTGCGAGTGGAGGAGTGGGGAATCAAACCCGGTTCTCCCAGATTAGAGTCCGCGCACTTAACCACTACACCGAACTGGCTGGGGCAGGTACTTCACTCCCTGAGTTACTGAATGACCCAGTCACACTAGAGGCAAAGACACAGGCAAATTCAACCCCCCCCCCCCAGGATGCCCATAGACACTAAGATGTTTATGGTTACTTAATTTAATTTGAATTAGATTTTAAGAGCCAGCTGTCTAAGGACCCAGATTCCGGAATGACTGACTAATATTCCATCCAAAAGACCGGTCCTGTCTATCCAGTTAGCTAAACATTCTTTTCCCGCTTTCCCAAGTATAAAACCACAACTTCATTAGGGACAGTAACAAAGGGCCAGATCCAGAGAGCTAGAATGAACAGAATGGATCTTGACCACAGCCCATAAACATTTTAAAATTCTGGAACAGACTTACCATTGGCCATCCAAACAGAAACAATTTCAACCCTTAGAACCAGGTACACGCTATTACTGTGCTTTCTAGTTTTGGCAATGAGAATAAGACTTATTCTTGGTTTATTTCCTTTGTTTATGCCCCTCCTCCCCATGGGGACCACAACTTTCGCCTCTCCTCCATTTTTTGCTCACAACAATCCTGTGAGGTAGGTGAAGCTGAGAGGGCGCGACTGGCCCAAGGACACCCAGCAAACTTCCATGGCAGAGCAGGGATTTGAACGTGGGTCTCCCAAATCCTAGTCTGACCCTCTAACCACTGTGCAACAGTGGTTTAAATGTATCTAGATCCCCCCCCTTAAATACCTTATTCTTACTATGGGGAGAGACTTTAGGAGACCACTGCCTCAACATTATGACCACTTCAGTCCTTTACGTAGATATTAGAAGAAGGAAAGACAGGGCTTATAGACATTGCTGAATGCAAGGCACTCTGCGTGTACACAGAGGCACACATTCTTTCATACATGTATGATCCAAAACAGGGGACAGATAGATATCAGGTGGTGTGGTTAAGAGTAGTGGACTCTAATCTGGAGAACTGGATTTGATTCCCCTCCTCTATGTGAAGCCTGCTGGGTGACCCTGGGCCAGTCACAGTTCTCTCAGAACTCTCTCAGCCCCATGTGCCTCACAAGCAATGTTCCCTCTAAGCTGTGGAGTCTTGTGAGCAAAAACTCTACTTTGTGAGCTACCGACATTAAAGTTGTGAGCGAGCAATTTGGCTGCTGCATCAATTAGTTTGCTCTGGAGCCCTCCTTCCTGAGCGAAGACAAGAATGTGTGAGCTGGAGGCTAAAGAACTGTGAGCTAGCTCACACTAACTCAGCTTAGAGGGAACACGCCTCACAAGGTGCCTGATGTGGGGAGGGGAAGGGAAGGCAATTGTAAGCTGTTTTGAGACGCCTCAGGGTAGAGAAAAGTGGGGTATAAAAACCAACTCTTCTTCCTTTTTCTCCTCCTGGTCCCCCCTTTCCTCATGACCTCACCAACTTTTGAGGTAAAGTCCCACAATGATGAAAGGAAACAGCAGATCTAGCTTAAATTCCCCGCCCACTGCTCTCATTTGTCATTGCCCAACATAGGTGGAGATGAAGCAAAACATCAGAGAAAGAAAGGGCAAGGGAGAGAAGATTATGGAATAGGGCAAATGAGAGAGAGAGTTTGATCAAGAGGAGTTAGCTGACAGGGGCCATTTTCTCCTCACCAATCTCTTGAAAGGCAATTTGGTAGAACACTGCTAACCCATTTAAGACTGCGTATCATAAAGGACTAAAAGTTGAGGGGTCCAGTGAATCCCTAAGGATATGCTGTGGCTATGGCTTTGATTAAAAGATCAGACCAGCAACTCATGCTGAGGGCCAAGCATGGAGGTTCTTCCTGGTGTGATGCTCTTGGCTTTGATGAAAAGATCAGACCAGCAACTCATGCTGAGGGCCAGCATGGAGGTTCTTCCTGGTTTGATGCTCTAGGCCAGTGATGGCGAACCTTTTCGAGACGGAGTGCCCAAACTGCAACCCAAAACCCACTTATTTGTCGCAAAGTGCCAACACGGCAATTTAACCTGAATACTGAGGTTTTACTTTAGAAAAAACAACTCACACATTAACTTAAGATGATCCAAACAAAGTAAGGAAAGCAATCCCAAATGCTTTCATTAACTTAAAATTATTTGGCAGAGAATTCAACACTTTAATGACGGTCTGGGCCTGGCTGGGGCAATGGCACGCGTGCCCACAGAGAGGGCTCTGAGTGCCACCCCTGGCACCTGTGCCATAGGTTCACCACCAATGCTCTAGGCTCACAAGATCCATTAATTATATTTTGCTCAGAGCAGTCTAGTATGTTCCTCCACACTGCTACATTACGGCTGAAGATGATTCCAATTCAAGAGCAGAGACCACATAACTAGTCGATCACTGACACGAAACGAATGCTCTTTTTTAAAAAAAAATGGATAAACTCATTCATGAGCAAACCAACAGTGAAATCAAGAGATGGAATGACAAGGTAAAGTAAATGGACTGTGGACAGAGACGGTAACGGAGACGGAGAAGCCCGCTCAGCATCACCCAACTAGTCCAAGGCTAAGGTGGTCAAAATAAAATTTGTGAGAGTGGAGAAAGGTACTGGAAAAGAGAAAGATCAGTCAAGGTAATAAGTGAATCACCATCTCTGGAAAAGGTGAAAAACTGCTGGAAACTGCAGGGCCAAAGCAGGGATTAAAGGTTGTGCAGTGTTTAACAAAGGATATGGTGAAATTTTAAGCGCTGACCTAAACAAGATGGAATTCGTTACCTTTGAGTTGTAGAGTTTGAAAACGGCAAGAGTCAATAATTTGCTCAGATTCCGCACACGGGACACGAGCCCTTTTTGAGGGGGCCCCGCTTGCTCATGCGCGTGCTACAATTAATACAGACAATGGTAATAGGTCCTTTATGTATACCTCAAATTTTTTTTGTTGCCATTAAGTCAGAGCTGCATATGGTGACCCCACAGCCCTCCATTTGTTCAAAGCCAAATCTCTCAGCCAACTCACTTTTGGTGGTGCCTTTAATATCACTTCAAATTTTAAAAAACTGGAGGCCTTTCAATCTAAGTTTCTAAGAACAGTCCTCCAAGTTCCTCCTGGTA